ATATTCTCATGTTCATATTTCTCTGTTATAAAATAAGCATGAAATGTAAACAATATTTTATATTTGATTTTTTAATATATTATGTATTTCGTGTATTTATTTTTGCTATTATAGAATAGATATAATTTTATAAAATAAATTTATTAAAAATTTAATGTTAAAATAACAATGAGAGAAATAAGCTATTACGATGAAATATTTATAGGATATTAAAATAAAAGTAAAATACTCATTTTGGTCTCTTAACTATAGGTTCTATTTAGTCTCTTATCTTTTTTTTTTGTCAAATTGGTCCCTTAAGTTTCAAAATGCAACCACGTTAGTCCTTTTGGTAGTGAAACGTTAGTTAAATACAAAAAGCAGACTCCAGGTGACATTTGTCATGCTTGAAGTGGCTTGTTGGAGGCAACATGACAGAGAATAAGGATAGTCAACCTCCAAAAGCTCAAGATAGCATATGCATGTTCAATTTGTCCAAAACGAAAGTCAAAGGAAAGAGGAAGAGGCGTGCGAAGGTGATTTCGAAGGTGATTTCTTTACATGTAACTATTCTCATACTCGTTGAATATTGGTATTTAGGGTTTTGGGGATTTATGTATGTTATTCTTGTTTTGTCTTCGTAACTGAATATTTGTTTTGCCAAGTTATTAATGAGAAAACTTGACAAATAAGGAAAGTAATTGACAATCATAACTGCAGTAGGGAGTATAATGTGAGGATGTTAAGCACAGAGTGGTTGAGCAAGAAGATTCAAAATGCATTGAAAAACAATCATAGGTTAAAGGTCTAGGATATTAAAGAAAAGGCATTGAGGAAGTAGAATGTAGGTGTAAACAAGACTAAAGCAATAAGAGCAAGGGTGGCTGCAAGGAATAGGATTGATGATTCCTTTTTGGGTGATTACACTAGGATATATGACTATTGTCACGAACTACTAAGAGCCAATCCAGGGTCAACAGTTAAGATGAATGTTGAACTTGCTCCAGAAGGTGCTGATGATCAGAGACCATTTTTTAAAAGGCTTTACATATGCTATGAAGGAAGTAAGGAGAGTTTCAAATTATGTAGGCATGTGATAGGATTGGATGGTTTCTTTTTGAAGGGGCTTTGTGCAGGTGAAATTCTGACAGCTATAGGAATGAATCCTAATGATCAGATGCTTCCTATAGCACTTCCAGTTGTTGAAGGTGAAAATAGAGATAGCTGGACATGGTTTTTGAAGCTATTGATTGATGATCTGGGAGGTAGACATGAATGTCGCTCATACACTTTCATTTCAGACCAACATAAGATACACTAAATACTTCACTGAATCTTTACATTTATCTGATTGTTTTCTTGATAATTTACTATTTGTTATGAATGTATTTTACAAGGACTTTTGTCTGCAATGGAAGAGTTGCTGCCCAATGTTGAACATCGATTTTGTGTTAGGCATCTATATAACAATTTCAGAAAGAGGTATCTTAAAAATATATTCAAGGATCTTATCTAGAAGGCTGCTAAATCTACATACTCACAAGCTTGGGAAAGAGAGATGAGGGCAATGAGAATGATCAGTGGAGAGACATATCTCCATATGATGAAGACTCCACCAAGATATTGGTCTAGGTCATATTTTAGAACAACCAACAAGTGTGATGTTGTGCTCAACAATATGTCAGAGGCCTTTAATAGTGTTATTATTAAAGCTATGGCTAAACCACTAGTAACAATGCTTGAGTAGATCAAAACTTACATGATGGAGATATAGGGAAAAAACAAAATGAGGTTCCAAGAAATATCTGGTAATGATATTTTGCCCAACATTAGAAAGAAGATGGACATAACAAGTGCCTTCACAAACTTATGGCTTGTCAGGTATGGTATGTTATTATTAATGTTAATTGTAGACTGTTAATTGTTAATTGCAGACTATTAATTGTTATCGTTAATGTTAATTACAGAATGTCAGATGAGTATATATTTGAAGTAAGGCATGTGGTAAACCCAACTGAAACATTCACTATGAACTTGAAGGATTACTTATGCTTCTGCAGAAGGTGGGAACTCACATGACTTCTATGTGTCCATGCCATGTCATCCATGAAGAGTAGGAATTTTAAAGTTGATGATTAAATTCCAGATTATTACAAGGTATCTAAGTACAAGGCAGTATATAGGTTTGTGCTTTATCCTATGAATGAATCCAATATGTGGGCCAAAACTCCATATCCTAATGTGCAGCCACCTAAGTTTAGAAAGATGCCTGGTAGACCAAAGAAAAGGAGAAACCTTGAGCAAGGGGAGATTGATGGCACTGATAGAAAATTGATAAGAACTGGTTTTATTGTAAAGTGCTCTAGGTGCAAGAAAACTGGACATAACAAGAAAACCTGCAAGGTTAATGCAACATAAGACACTACATCTCAAACCACTGCAGCTCAAGGAAATGCATCTCAGGGAAATGCAACTCAAGGCAATACAAGGCAATGCAATGTAACTCAAGGCAATGCAACACAGGGCAATGCAACTCAAAGCAATGCAACACAAGGCACTGCATCTCAAACCACTGTAGCTCAAGGAAATGCAACTCTGGGCAATGCAACTCAAGGCAATGCAACACAAGGCACTGTAAGGTAAGGCAATGTAAGTTACGTTGAGACCAATGCAATTTAGATTGGGACAAGACAAGTTTCTGCATCTCAAACCACTGCAAGTCAGGTTGCAGCAACACAAGCATCAGTTGCACAATGATACATGAATGCAACTCAGTCTTTACAAGGAAAAACAGAACCAGGGTAAGGCACAAAGGAGAAAGATAGGGAAACTAGAAAGTTACAAAAAATAGGTGTGAGAAGGCCCTTTGTACTCCTAGGACCAACAACAAGACTCTCAGCAGCCAAGAATGCAACTGGTCCTGCCACCAGGCGATCTACTCCAACTAAGAGAAGTACATCAAAAAGGACCATCTAGTTATAATTTTAGGGTTTATATGTTTTGGAACATGTCTATGTAATGTGTTATTCTGTCAACCTTTTGGAACATGTCTATGCAACATGTCTGTATTTTGGAACATATCTATGTAACATCCCATCTACGTATTTTTAGTTTAAGTAATCTGATGCGTTCATTTACTAGTAATGCCCAAAATTATGTTGCTACAATTAATGATATACCAAACTGATATGCTTTGATTAATGATATGCCAAACAAAATAAGTCTTATTAAACTGATAACATGTGTTAAAGTTACACATAAGCTTGCACATAAATTTCCTAAATTGATAAAATTACACACAAAGTTGCTACATACTCCTACTCCTAATACATCTTAATGACAAATATGCATAACATTACAAAACACACAATCTTCAATGTTTTTTTCCACTTCAACATCTTGTTCAGTTGAATTTGAAGTTCTAACACAACATCCCCTAATTCTTTATTTCTAACCCTCAATTTTTCGTAATGATTCTTGATTTCATCTAAATCCTTTGCTATGCTTTCCAATCTATTACTCAATACTTGGTTTATGTCTTCTGCCAATTCCTCTGCCAATTTCTCGTGAAACCAATTGAAAAAGCCACATCCTATTTGCAAGGATCCCTCAAAATTTCACAAATTGATCAAACTCTGTTTACCATCTTCTAACATACCCAAATCAAAAATAGGGCTTACCTTGTAATTGTGATAACCCAAAATTTCTTTTCATAATTCTTCTCAGTGGTTGTCTTACGAAGAACAACGTTGTCTCCGCAACGGCAAAGTGGTGCAATTTGCAAGCTACTGTATACACCAGACCCAACACTTTCAGATTGATCCAGGTTTGTTGGGGAAGATGAATGCTTCGTATTCATGGAGAAAGGGGCGAAGATGAAGAAAGTAAAGAAAATTTTGGTAAGGAGAACGTAAATATGAAGATGATGGGTATGTAAGAATATGATGGGTACAAAGATGATGAGCGTTAAGAAAGTTTTGTGAAAGAGATTTTGCAGCAAGGTGAAGAACGCGTTCTGCATATAAAGAAGATGAAGAAATCTGCCAACTCACCTGCCACGTCACGCAAATAAACGGACGTTGGAGGCCAATTAACGGAAGAACTAACGTGGTTGCGTTTTGAAACCTAAGGGACCAATTTGGCACCAAAAAAAGATAAGAGACCAAAGTGAACCATGACTTATAGTTAAGAGACCAAAATGAGTACTGTATCTAAAGTAAAAATTAAAGAAGGAGGCTGGATATTTTTTATTAAAAAAAAGAGAAGTTAAATAATTATTGTAATTATAAAATATTGAATATTGTTATATAGTAAGATTCATTTGAATAAGAAAGATAAAAATGTATACTTGTCATTGTCTAAGAGAATAATTTTAAATTTAATTTTCTTTTTAATAGGAATCATGAGATAATTGTAGTAATGAATGATTGAGATTTAATTCATACATTTCTTCCTTTCATACTTCCTTATTAATAAGTATTATTCAAAACTTATTTTATTTATAAAATGATGAATTTCACTAAATAAAATAGACATAATTGATACTTCCCCTCATCTATTTTATAAAAAAAAACACTTTTTAAATTCATTAAATAATTAAATAATTATATATATAAATTAATTAGATACTTAGTTTTTCATTGAATTAAATTTTATTTATTTTTTAATATTTTAAGTACATATATCTATTTATTTTGAAAGACTAAAATAACTTATCTTGCCATTCAATAAAAAAAATCCCATGTCTATTTGCCCCATTACGAGATCCAATTTGTTACGACGTTCATTGATTCAACAACGCGCCATATTTTTCGACAAAAAGGAAAAAACAACGCGCGACATTCATCTATTCCCGCTTTATTTCATTTTTCAAACTTTGAAATGTTTTCCATTTTCCAACTCCTTCTTCCCTCGCTCTTTTCCAATTTCATTTCAAATCCCCCGCAAAACCAAAACTAAAAATCCTTATTAACACCACCAACCTTCACTCCTTATTCTACATTCCTCTAAACAATCCCAACATGGATCTTCCTCCAAACAAAAGACACAGATTCATTCAACAACAACAACAACATAATTCATGTTCACCTTTACCCACCAAAAAACGCAAAGAATCTCGAAACTCATCACTTTTTCACACCCCACCATCAACACCATCACCCTCCATCTATTCTCTACCCACCAAAAAACGAGTCTCCGCCTTTCAACCCCATTTTCACCACCTCGATACCACCCCAAACGACGCTGTTATCCATCCACTCATAGACCTCAACGTCGAATACAATCCCGATCTTCACTCACCCATCCCAGCCGACAAACAAGACACCAGCAACAACACTGACAAACAACTTGTTGCTGAAGAGGATGGGATTTTATGCTGTGTCTGTCAAAGCACCGACGCTAACTCTGAAGATCCCATTGTTTTTTGCGACGGTTGTAACCTAATGGTCCACGCTTCCTGCTACGGAAACCCTCTAGCTAAACAAATCCCAGACGGTGATTGGTTCTGCGAACGGTGTTGTTTTACAGGTACGGATCCAATAATACGTTGCTGTCTCTGTCCAACAAAAGAAGGTGCTATGAAACAAACAATAGACGGAAAATGGGCTCACGTGGTGTGTGCTTTACTTGTTCCTGAAGTGTATTTTGTTGATCCAGAAGGGAGAGAAAAGATCGATTGTTCTAAGGTCCCAAAGAAGAGATGGTTGGAGAAATGCTATGTTTGTGGGATGTGTGATGGGTGTGCTTTGGTTTGTTCTGAACAAAAGTGTGGTTTGGGTTTTCATATTACTTGTGGGATTAAGGAAGATGTTTGTATTGAGTATAAGGAAGGGAAGAAAGGTGCTACTGTTGTCGCTGGTTTTTGCAAAACCCATTCTCAAATATGGGAGAAGGTAACATTTTTACTATCTTGGTTCGATAGATTTGTTTTTTTTTTTATGAATGAGTTTAATTTGATTTTGTTGGTGCAGAACAAGGGGTCTGGGAAATACAAAATTGTTGCAGCTGAAGATCAATAGTATCAAGATTGGTTCTTGAGTTTTTCATTTCTGTTAATCTGTTTTAGGGGTTACCATACGAGTTCATTTGAGTTTGTTTTAGATTTTGCTTATGCTTTTTGTAGTGTTATATCTTGTTTGATATAAGTTAAATCTATCAATTGGTATAAGAGCATGTTAGATATATTTTATGGCTATTGTTTGAAATCACAAAATTGCAATGAAATTATAATGTTATGTTTACCTTTCTAACTTGATGCAGAGATTAAAGACTTCCTGAAACAAATTTAATTCAATGATTGAATGAAATGAATACAGTTGTCTGCACTATGTATTTTAAAACAATTAGTACAACTAAATTTTTTGCATTGGTTGTAAAAGCATAAAAGGTCATGAGCTAGAGAGGTCCACTTTACCAACCCAGGATGGTTTCAACACACCTTCTTTTTCCATAAGGAAAAGGAGGAGTTAGCTGTTGTTTAATGGACTTATGACTTGCTTTTGGTCTCCTATTCCAAATCCAGATGGTTGCAACACATAACATGTTTGCCTTGATCGAAAAGAAAAGGTCACCACCTCCACGTCATGGTGCGTCATAGGGAAGAGTTAACCAATGGCAAACTACCTCCACATCCTTGCTCATTACGAGGGAGTTACTACAAACCAATTTTTTTTTATCATATTGTTAAATTAGTTATTTAATTAATTAATTATGGATTAATAATAATAATAATTAATTATTAGAAATTATTTAATTAATCAATTATGGATTAATAATAATTAATGATTAGAAATTATTATTAATATTAGTTATAGTTTACTATTATTAAGTACTTAGGTTAGTGCGTGAGATATTTTTAATGAAGATAGAAAGAATGAATAATAAAGGAAATAAAGATTTATATTATTGAATTGTACGAGAATTATTTATACTTTAATTGGGTTTTGGTCTATACAACTTAGATTATATCTAAATATTAAATTTAATTAAATTAAACAAATCTAATTAATATTTCCCTTATAATTCAAGTTGTCGAACATTCTCAAAAATAGTTAATCTGAATTATTCCTAATTTTTTCCCCTCAAATTCAATTCTTTAGTAAAAATAGCAATGTCTTACTTCAAGTTCACATTGATTTACCTTTTTCCTCAAGAAGTGAAACCTTGCTTTAATATGTTTACTTCTTTCATGCAGAACTAGATTCTTCGCCAGATTTATGGCTGACTTGTTGATTTGCAATACAAGAGGTTTTTTCATTTTGACTTTCATTTCAAGTACATATTTGATCCAAATTGCTTGACATGTAACATATGATCCTACTATATATTCAGCTTCACAAGATGATAATGCCATCATAGGTTGTTTCTTCGAACACCATGAGATTGAGGCACTAAATATTTGAAAAAAATATCTAATTGTGCTTCTTCGATCCTTATCTCAACACCAATCAACATCTAAAAAATAATTAACTATTGCTTTGTCTTCATAATTTCATCGAAATAATATTCCACAGTTTATCGAACCTTTCAAATATCTCAGGATTCTTCTTGCAGCCTTCATATGTGACACTCTTGGTTCACTTATTCATCTGCTTACTAATCCTACAACGAAACCTATATCAAGTTGACTGTTGCGCACATAACTCAGAGGTCCCACAATTTGCTTGAACAAAGTTACATCGACTTTGTCTTCCTCTACATTCTTCTCCAATTTTACATTTGGTTCGACAGGTGAGGATGCAGAATTCGAATCATCCATTCTGAATCTCTTGAGTATTTCTTTGACATACTTCCTTTGATGTAGCATCATACCTTGCTTTGACATTTGAAATTTCATACCTAAGAAATAAGACAATTTTCCTAGATCAGACATTTCAAATTCCTCCATCATCAACTCTTTGAACTTCGACAAGTTCTCCAAGCTATTTCCAGTTACTAGAAAGTCATCGACATATAAGCAGATGATTGTTATATCTGAAGGGGTGAAAAACACAAGAAGGGGGGTTGAATTGTAAAACTGAAATCTTAAAGCAATTGACAAGATATTTTTATCCTGGTTCGTTTGATCTCAAACTACTCCAGTCCACCCGTCAAGGTGATTTCGCCTCTCTCCAACGAGGTCTTAATTCACTATATTCAACTGAATACAAATCTGCTTTAACAACTGCTAAAGCCTTCTTGATTCAAACCACAATCCGGTTTGTCAAGGCAACACTTTCTTACAAAGGTATAAAACAATGTGTGTGAATGTTTTCTACAAAACTTTATCACAACTGTGATGTATACACAAATGAAGCTTAGAAACTTAGATTGCTAAACACTAATGGAGTATCAGAGTTTGTGGTTTAGCAAAACTGGTAGATGAAGATTATTGTTCAGCTTTGTGCGTGTAGAGAATTGGAGAGCATTAGCCATTATAATCTTCGAAGCCTTGTTTATATAGCACTTGAGAAGATGAACGTTGAATGCAATATTCTTGATTCAATGCTAATAACAAGCTTTCCTTTTTGAGCAGATCTTGTCTGGAATGAAGCCGTTGGAATTAATTAGCGTTCAATGCACAGTGCCGTTGCTTCTTCAATGCACGTTCTGGCTTGGCTCATTCTGATTCTGCTTCGCTGCTGATGAACTATTGTTTTTGTATCAGAGTGTTTACGCGCAGTTCTGTTCATCAAGCTTCAGCATGTACGTGAGTTGATCATCTGATCTTGACGTTCTGATTCAGCAACTTCTGATGCTGATGTATGAAATCAAATTCTGATGCTGAAGAAGTGATCTTGCTTATTTTAATCAGCATATAGTTCAAACATGAAACATATAAATACTATATCTTTTCACTTTGTTATCATCAAAACTCAAATATAGGGTAGTAGATTCAAACATTGTTCTAACAATCTCCCCCTTTTTGATGATGACAAAAACTAGATATTTTAAATGAAAAATAACGTGAAAAGGTGTCTGGGAAATGTTTCAGAGTTAAGAAGTAAGGAGAAATCAGAGTTAAGAGATACTCCCCCTTAGTTGATTACTTCCCTTTGATGATACGTGTTCTTCAGGATCAACTCTTTTTCTTTCTTTGAACATCAGATTATAAGAGTCTTTGACTTATCAGAGAGCAGAGCTTCAGAGCTTTTCCTGTCAGAGCTTTGCTTTGGATCAAAGTATTTGGTCGATCAGAACTTCATATTTGATCAGAGCAACATGAGCTTCTACATTTTGATCAGAGCTTCTAGTCTTCATAGTGTTCAGGAGCTTCCTTGTGCCTGTAGACTTTAAGCAAAAACAGAAAAACATTTCAAGTAATAGAGTTAGAATGTTTGAGAATTTCTGTCTAGTTAGCCGTTATTGATTTTAAATATCATTCTTGTTCTCCCCCTTTTTGTCAGCAATCAAAAAGTGTTGGTGATGTGTTAAAACACTTAAGATCAGAAAAACTAATTATATTAAAATAGTTCAGAATCAGAGCAAAAGAACATTACAAAACATAGTCAAAACAGTACATCAGAAAATGAAGAAAACATAGAGAATGTCATGCATGAAAATTTTTTTTAAGGTTGTGGGGGCATGCGTGAGAACAGGCTTTCCAGCATTGCTTGAATCTTTTCAGAAGTTTCATTCTGCTTCTGAACCATGTTGACAACAGTGTCAATCTTGCTGTCCTGTACATCCATTCTTGCTTTCATCTTCTGATCATTCTCTTCCATCCGCTGCTGTAGACGCAAGTCATTCAGCCTTAATTCTTCCAGAGCCTGCCTGTCCAAGGCAGCTTGAGAAGTATCAGAAGGAGGAAGCTTCTCAGAACTTTCAGCGACATCTTCTGCTTGACTTTCAGCCTGAATGGTCTTGTCTTCTTCTGATGGTTGCACCTGAGCAGCTTGCTGTTTCTCCAACCAAGGTTCACTGTCCAGAGGGAGCACAACTTCTTGAGGCAGCTGACTCTCAACTTCCTCCAGCAGCTTGCTAAAGTTCTGTTGAGCCTGCTCATAGTTGACGTCCTGCAGCTTGAGGGCTTCAGCACGTACCCATAGTCTGAACTGTGACCAGAGCTGATCAGAAGCAGCTGGGTCGATCATCCCCGGACAGACTTGCTTCAAAGAAGCAATCCATTGCAGCATACCTGTTTCAAAATTCAAAATACCAGAGCCAACATCTGGTTGCTTTGGTTTGGGTATGGCAATTTTGTGTCTTAGATCAGCAAGACGTTCAAGACTTGTTAAGTCAATAAAATCCTGCTGGGGTTTTCAGAGGATTGGTTTTCAGATGTTTGCTGAGACGCTGTTGGTTTTGGAGGAGGGGTATCAGAGTCAGATATTTCAATTGGAGTGGTAGGAGTTTTTGGAGGTGTTGATTCTAATGAGGATGGCAACTGGGGCCTGACGATAGTGGTTCCACATGGCAACTGGATTGCCAACGGCGAAGGTTGAGGTGAGTGAGGGTCAGAATGATGAGGAGAAGGGGTTTCATAGCGGTGAAACTCTGTTTGTGGTGAAGGTGGATTATTTTCTGGTTGAGGAGGTGGAATCTCTGATTGCTCAGGGATCAGAGGTTCTTCTGTGAGAGGTTGTTGTTGTTGTGGTTCTGATTCTGGTTGTTGTTGTATTTCTGGTTCAGGTTGTGGTTCTGGTTGAGGAGGAGGAATATTTGGTGGTTCAGAAATTGGTTGAGCAGAAGCATGTTCACGCTCAATATCAGCTAGCACTCTATCAAGTGCTGGTGTTGTTGAAACAGTTGGTTGTTTGGGAATTTTGGTTCTGGGTTTTCTGAGTAGTAAGGCCTCAGAAGGGTCTTCTGGTATGGTTTCATCAATAGTAGGGATTGGAATGGATATTCTGTGAGAGGTTTGAGGAGGGGCAGCAGATGTTGGAATAGTAGATGAAATTGAAATAGGGGCAGCAGATGAAATACCTCTTTTCTTTGGAGTCTGATGAGATGATCCTGCTGTTGGCGCTTTCCTCTTCTTTGTCTTCTTCTGAGTCACTTCAGGTTGGGGTTGACTCAGATCTTTGATCTTCAGCTTTGA